CTACAGACTAGCACTGCCTCCAGAGCTCTCCAGAGTCCACAACGTGTTCCACGTATCCATGCTATGTAAGTACAACCCGGACCCTTCTCATGTCTTGGCTCATGAACCACTTCCACTCCAAGAGAACTTGACTTATGAAGAAGTACCAGTCGGTATCACGGACTGAAAGAGCAGAATACTCTGTAATCGGAAAATATCATTTGTAAAGGTCGTGTGGCAGAACCACACACCCAGGGAGGCTACTTGGGAGCTAGAATCAGAATTTAGAGCCCAGTATCCCCATTTGTTCGACTAAGAGTAAGAGGAAAATTTGGGGGATCAAATTTCTTTAAGGGGGGGAGAGTTATAACACCCAAGTGAAACAAAATTATATTTTATTATTTTTTTTTTATTTATCTGATTTTTATGTAATTTATTTTAATTTGATTTAATTTAATGAAAAATAAAAATAATAATAATGATAAAATTGGGTAAAATATTATTTGGATTTAATTGAAATTGATTTTGGAAAAAAGGGGTGAAAATTTAGATTCTGGGGGTGTTTTTGAAAGGAAAATTAGAAACCGGAGGTCAAAATACAATTTAGAAAAATTGTACCACTTCATCACCACGTCAGCAGCCCGGTCAGCAGCCCCGACCAACCAGGACGCACCGCGTGGCAAGGAAACGCTGACCAGGGGACGGGCCACGTGGGCGATCCGCGTGCGCGCGATCGGACGGCCCAGGTTCGTTCTCGCGCATACGGACAGCCCAGATCAAACGTGCGCAGGGACGGCCCAGATTCAATCAGGCACGGAATGTCCAGATTGCATCGCGATGGACGGTCTAGATTTAATCTTGATGGACGATTGAGATTAAAAGGCAAAGGGTATAAATAACCCCACCCACACCTGACCACAAAAACCCTAGCCGCTAGTGCCTCGCCAGAGAAGAAGAACCAGACGCCGGAGGAGCCGGCCGCCACCACCCGCATCTGCACCGGGGAAGTTTTCGACCGCCGATCGAGGTAAATTTTCTCTCCCTTGCTCGTTTTTCGATGCTGAGTCAGCCTATGGCCAAATTGGAGCCAAACCACCGGCCAAACGGCCGAAAAACCCAGCCGAAGCCCAGCGGCGCCGCCGTGTCCCTCCTCAGTTTTTACCTCCGATGAAGCCCTTCCCGGCCTCCGTTCGATGCAATTTTTATACCATTGTGATCACTGTTCTTTTCTCTACAGGTTGATCGGAGCCAAACATCAAAATGCAATTCACGTCGGAGGAGCACCGCACCCGAGAGCACCGCCGTCGGTAAATTTCAGTTTTTTATGATTTTTTGGCCCACCGAAGGCCCTAGGGTTGTTTTATCGTAGGGACCAATGCAAGTGTGGTCGAATTTGGCCGAAAACGACCAACTTGAGGCGAATCGTCGCCGCAAGCGGCAGCACCGTTGCCGGAGCACGGCGGAGCCGCCGTGCTGGAATTGCGATATTGGCCGAAAGGGGGCCCTAAGTCTGATTTGGGATTTTTTGGGACACGTGCAGGTACTGGTAGTGC